AAGAAGGCAGCTAGAGAAAGAACACGACTCGATACGCGCGCGCGAGACTCCAATCAGCCAACGACAATCACGAATGACGATCTACATGAGCTGCAGGCAGCGCCAAGAACGCTGTCGTGGCGCCATATTCAAATATAGCGAAAAGAGTTGAACATCCAGATTACCGACATATTTAAAACGTCCTAAAAACATCCCAACAAAGGGTCTTAAAACTGTCAGTTTTATGTACCAGTACGTTTGGACGACAGTAAGACATGAACTGGACGTCTTTAAGATGTAGTGTGCTATCTAGATATTATTAAATTAAGCTAGTAAGAAAAATTATACTTAAATGAGGATAAATTTATTACTGACCCTTAACTAATACTAATTTGGTACAATAACAAGAAGTTTTAGCAAACAACTCTTTGTTTTATATCTTTTAAGTTTTTGTTTAAGAAATTTGATTAAACTTTTTTTTTCTTTATTCTTTTGTACCTGTTGTAATAATTGTCTTCTAAGCCGTTTTATGCCAGGGCTTTCTTGGATAGATTCCTTATTTGAAGTTCTATTTAAAGGGCCTGGCTCAGCTTCCAAATGCAAAGCTCTTCTTTCTAAGTAATACAAACAATCAATTATTACGGTAATGTTTTGAATTATACACAAAAGGGTTGCTAAATTCTTAAAAGTTCATAACATAGTAATGAAAAATAATTAAAAAAACATATATGTTTAATTATGTTTATTAGTATACGCACCTTTTTCGGCTGCATGTATATGGAGAATTCAGGAAATATAGTGGGAACTGCTCCATTTAGTAAACGTCTTTTACAGTCCGTCCCATAAAAAAAATGTATTTTAAAATGTTTTGAACACTATCAGTTGGTGTAGGCATCCAGTTTGCAATTTTCGTTGTCTGAATCCAAAGATTTTTTGCTGGATCCACAGAAAATCTAAAATAAAACAACAAATAAACATTGCTATAATTAAATAAAAAGCAAAAGTAAATTAGGATTTAATTAAAGTTAATATTTAGAATTGTACGACATGCCACTGGAAAAAATTACGTTTGGCCATTTTAATATCATTAATTGCTTAAATATCAATGAAAAGCATGAAATAAACAAACTTGGTGGGTAAAATTTATTACTCTGGAGTGAGACACGTACAATATGTAAATACCAAGTTGTATAACAACAAATAAAATGAAAAATATAGGAAAATATATAAAGTGAAAACGATTGATGTTTATCATTTACCTGTAAAACGTAATATCTGCTTATTTCTTGCCGCTATAACTTTAATACTGATATTCTACACAATAAACCATTATAATAAACCAATTATTAAATGTCGTTTAATTCAAAAATCAGAAATAAACACGAACAAAAACTTTGGTGTCATCGAAATGATTAGCACCAAAATAATGGCGACCAATAGATATTCAGCACAGAATACTACGTGTGCTCGATATTTTACGCGTCCTCTCTTTATTACTTAGTCTGAGGTTGTTGTGATTGACTAATAATATATTTAATTTATTTCAGGTCATTAAAACGAAGAGATCTAGAAAAAAAGATTTAGGAAGAAAGGAGATATAGAACCGAAGGAGATTTAGGAGTACTTTTCCCTGTGGAGACAATAGTCTTTTGTACGATGTTACCTTACTTATAAATAAATGTTTTATCGAGTGGGAAGATTTTATTTACCTTAGAAAAATGTAAGAGAATCACCAAAAGGGCGAAACATTTGGTGATTGTAACGAATTATAGTATTAAATAGTCATTAACTTTGTGTTTAAAATAATCATATTTTGACATCTGTCACTAAATTTACTGGATGTTTAAAAATCTATTATTGGCTCTTCAGAAAAATTTATTAAAAGTTACTTATCTGTTTATTCATCGACGCCAGAGATGAGTTTAAAGATCGCACAAGTCTTAAAATGATCTCCATAAATAATTAACAATTTTGTTTGGACCTTCCAAGATAGATTGTAATATGACCAAGCAACAGATGCCTAACACCTTTAGCAATGGTTGTGAAAAAGAATAAGCTTTTTAACCTACGTTACCATTTAAGAAAAATCAACATGACGGCGGTACGCTAAACGCTGTGGTAATATAAATTTAACGTGTCCTCTAAAAAATGCAAAATATAATCCCTACAATTTTATATTTATACATATCAAAGGAAATATCTTGTTGCCACATTTTTTTGCTATCCAAGTCAATTAAAATTAAGTATATACATGCAAAAACCGGGTATGTTTTAACAAATTTAATTATTTAATCGTATGACTTTGGACATAATTTTATGTATCACATGCATATTCAAATTTCAAGAAATTATAGGTGTGTGTAAAACACGTTAAGTGTGTTATATTTAGTTGTTTCACATATTAAGTATAAAACCTAACATAAGCATACTAAATTGTTTAAAATTTTAGTGATTAAAAAAAAATGAATAGTTGTTACTACAGATTTATAGAGCAAGCATTTTATATTATTGAAAGTGTAGGCAATTTGAACACAAATATCATTACCCCAAAAGTTTGTATAGAAGTATCTGTATCTATACCGTGTGGAGAGCGGATTACCCTCACAGGACTTAGGCCTCACTAGGCCCATTGTGCATCCTCCCAAAATGATAGGAACCTCATAGGTCGTGAGCCAGCCCACAGATTTATTGTAATTGACAACGTTGCCAAGAGGTGCTTCTCTTATATCGATTGGTGATACTCGCCCAACACAAATCTCCTAATAAATGAGAGCATCGAGCAATCGTAGAAGATATGTTTGATATACTCATCTTTTTGTTCGCACCCTCTGTTGTCACATAAATTCAACGTGCTATTAAGTGATGTAAGTAACAGCCAGTTTCCCAATGAGTTAGGGCTCATTGCACCCTGATCCTCCTTTGAGGTGTATTCTCCCGTATTAAAATTGTGTATCGATTCCTGTACAGTTATGGGTATGTCAGTGGCGTTGGTGTAGGTTTTGATTTTATCAAGACTGTTTGTTGTGTTTTTAGTCTGGGGGTCTGTGTTATCCCTTATCACTTTAATTACTTTCTGGGATGCAGATTCATCGCGATTCGGGCTACTCAGTTCACCCGTCCTTCGGCTATTCTTCAAACCTGCAATTTTATCAATTTTTATGTTCTATTGATATACTTTTAATATACTTTTTATTCTTGATCGAAATTTGAGGCATGGTTCCGGTGTTACCATGGCTGATTCGGGCCGTGTGAAAATCGGTACCAGGGTCAAAATCCAGTACTTTAGCCCTTGTTTCTGCAGGCATTTCCACCCTTTTTATGGTGACTTTGGTGAGGTGGGTTGATTCGGCCATATAGGCGGATTGAAAGCTTGGAATAGTGTCCATCGGTCCGAATGGGGTGCTGTTTCTGGCCGGAGGTTAGTTATTATCCGTTTGGTCAGGGTTTTTCAAGGGATCCGGGGGATACACCCCCTCAGAGGTCTCAGGTGCACTGTCGTTAGTGTTAGTGTGGGTGATACCATCTGCATCCATGTAGTCATCGGACTTATCATCGTTTGCGCTTCTACTAAGGCTAGGGGAGTTTTTCTCGGAGTTTTCGAGCATTTTTGGAAGATTCTCCCTACTTTTTCTTAAATTCACGATACTTTTTCCTAGATTCTCCATACTTTATTTAGGACTCATCTGATTTTCTGACCGATTTGCAGGGTCCCTAAGTGATTTAGAGCCGGTCTCGGCATGAGTATTATTGGGGTCAGTCCTGAGGTTGTGAGGGTGGTCATTATCGGGTGTGTTGTCTTCGTTAGACGTTGTTTTTTCGGCGTTGTTAATGGTGGTGTTAATGCTTTCCTCAGAGCTATAGGATTCGTTTAGATCCTCGAAAACTTCCTCTAGAAGTGTTTGAGGGTCATATAGAGGTCGTTTCGGGAAATTCTTAAACAGTACTGAGCAGCTGACCCCTGAGTTAGTGTTAATGGTGGTTAGTCCCAATAAAGTGGCTTTACTCACAGTTAGGTTGGTTTGTCTTTTAATTTTGGCCTTTAGATGCTCTGGAGTTTGTATAATTGAGATATTTCGAGAACTCCTTCTTGATGGTTTTTAACTATACTACCTGGCTGACTCGAACGTAAATTAAATGAAATATGGTAATGAATAGGTTAATAACCTGGTGTCGCAGAACGGTACTACTAGAGCGTTGTAAAATTTTATAAACTTCCTTTGACGAGCTCAAAGGGTATATCTGATGACATCAGGAGTTTCCATATCAATATGTTAGTGATTGGGCGAGTTTATGTTGTCGATAGTGGGGCAGATTCCAGTATATCCTAGAGCTCTGCAGAAAGGAGAGGTATTGCGAGTCTGAGAGTAATCGTATGTTAAGTTGGGGAAGATCTTGCTTTGGTTTTCGGAATAGTGGAAGGCGCCGAGGGTGCGATGAGGTTTATAGTGCATGTTGGGATTTGAGTAAGTGCGAGTAACGTATTGTTTCCTGAAGATTTGCAAACGAAAGAGAATGAGATTATTATGTATATTTTCAAAAACTTGTTCGCTGGGATAGCGAAAGAGAAGTTATTACCATCGTCGGAGTATAACGTTTCTCGATTGTGGTTAGTTTATGGACAAGGTGTGTTGGAAGTACGCCGTAAGGTACTGTTCTGTGCTCGGCAACGTGACGAATAAAACAATTATGTGAATTAGTGGTTTTCGGCAACATCCTCCAAATCCTCCACATAAAGCCCCAAGGAGATTGGCTTGCTGTTGTATCAGAAGACTTGAGAGTGTGAAAGAATCACATTGCTAAATAGTTAAATTTTGTCTGTTTGCGAGTCCGATTCACAGTAGATTAACGTATACGTTCGTGGGAAGCAGGATAGCTCTGTTTCAGTTAGGATGTTTAAAAATTATAAATTAGGTTTTTTTATGGATTCAGTGAGACCCTCCATCAACTGAACCATATTTTCTGAACTTAGTGTATATAAGGATTTAAAATGTTAAAAATATTTACGTAAATTTACTTTTTAGATTGGTTGAACAAATAGACAAAACTTTTGGAAAATATATTTTTATTGAATACGGATTTACATCTTTTGGCTTGTCTATAGTTGTACTTGAATTTTTATTGGTAAGTTTGATCGCATTTATATTCTTTAATAATATCCAAGCTACATAAAATTTGTTTTTTTTTTTTCAAGGAAATATAAATTTAATATGACTACATGAAATATAACATAGAAAGGTGTCATCTATCCTAAATATTTATATGTTAACATAATATTACTAATTTTAATTGACTACAGATTACATTTACTATAAACAAGCACTAATTATACACTATCGTATTTGGGGTATATTCAATATATCTGTTAAGAAAAGAATCAAGCAATCGTTTGGTAACCTTGGAATTTTTATTTTTATATACAACTCTGTGAATGAAAATAGATGGACATTTCTTACTTTCGATTTATTCGTTAAATTTCTGACAGAACATAAAAAGTACAACAATATCTTCAGCTTTTTTATTAACTGATGAATAAGGAAATTTACAGCTAGTTCATTTGGGTGAACACCCAACCGGTTCTAGTAACTCTCGACTAATTTGAAACATTCTTCAATGACTGTTGAACCATGAAGGTCTCTGTAAACTATGTAGTTAGGAATACACCAGAGAGCGTTTGCAGCTAATATGAGTAGTTTGGATTGAAAGCACTTCATGACACTTAAACAACTTGATAATCTCCAGAATTGTACTCGATATAACCATACAGATTTTATTATGATTATATACCAGTACTTTGTTCGTAAAAGAAGTTTTAAAGGGGCGGCACCTTTGCCAAGAAATAATCCTTTCAATCAGGCTAAGTTGTTATCTATTCTGCCATAAATGTTTAAATTAGCTTGTCTAAATGAATACCAAGGTATTTCAGCTCTTTCTTTTGGGCTAGCGGGAATTGGTTAAGGTAACCAAAAGACAAGTATCTTGCCTAACGGCGAATGTCACATTAACACATTTGGATATATTAGCTTTGATGCGCTAGATCTTCATCCAATAATCAACTTTCTCAAGGTGGTGTAAAAGTCAAGTAGCTGCGCAGCGTTTTAATATGGGGCAAGGATTCATATATCGTCTCCTAAAGTTGATAGAGTGGTGTCACCTTTTTTGAATTAACGCAAGCACGCTGCTTTGTATTACCCCAGATTAAATGGGGACCAAGTGTGTGTGTGTGTGTGTGTGTGTGTGTGTGTGTGTGTGTGTGTGTGTGTGTGTGTGTGTGTGTGTGTGTGTGTGTGTGTGTGTGTGTGTGTGTGTGTGTGTGTGTGTGTGTGTGTGTGTGTGTGTGTGTGTGTGTGTGTGTGTGTGTGTGTGTGTGTGTGTGTGTGTGTGTGTGTGTGTGTGTGTGTGTGTGTGTGTGTGTGTGTGTGTGTGTGTGTGTGTGTGTGTGTGTGTGTGTGTGTGTGTGTGTGTGTGTGTGTGTGTGTGTGTGTGTGTGTGTGTGTGTGTGTGTGTGTGTGTGTGTGTGTGTGTGTGTGTGTGTGTGTGTGTGTGTGTGTGTGTGTGTGTGTGTGTGTGTGTGTGTGTGTGTGTGTGTGTGTGTGTGTGTGTGTGTGTGTGTGTGTGTGTGTGTGTGTGTGTGTGTGTGTGTGTGTGTGTGTGTGTGTGTGTGTGTGTGTGTGTGTGTGTGTGTGTGTGTGTGTGTGTGTGTGTGTGTGTGTGTGTGTGTGTGTGTGTGTGTGTGTGTGTGTGTGTGTGTGTGTGTGTGTGTGTGTGTGTGTGTGTGTGTGTGTGTGTGTGTGTGTGTGTGTGTGTGTGTGTGTGTGTGTGTGTGTGTGTGTGTGTGTGTGTGTGTGTGTGTGTGTGTGTGTGTGTGTGTGTGTGTGTGTGTGTGTGTGTGTGTGTGTGTGTGTGTGTGTGTGTGTGTGTGTGTGTGTGTGTGTGTGTGTGTGTGTGTGTGTGTGTGTGTGTGTGTGTGTGTGTGTGTGTGTGTGTGTGTGTGTGTGTGTGTGTGTGTGTGTGTGTGTGTGTGTGTGTGTGTGTGTGTGTGTGTGTGTGTGTGTGTGTGTGTGTGTGTGTGTGTGTGTGTGTGTGTGTGTGTGTGTGTGTGTGTGTGTGTGTGTGTGTGTGTGTGTGTGTGTGTGTGTGTGTGTGTGTGTGTGTGTGTGTGTGTGTGTGTGTGTGTGTGTGTGTGTGTGTGTGTGTGTGTGTGTGTGTGTGTGTGTGTGTGTGTGTGTGTGTGTGTGTGTGTGTGTGTGTGTGTGTGTGTGTGTGTGTGTGTGTGTGTGTGTGTGTGTGTGTGTGTGTGTGTGTGTGTGTGTGTGTGTGTGTGTGTGTGTGTGTGTGTGTGGTGTGTGTGCGTGTGTGTGTGTGTGTGGTGTGTGTGCGTGTGTGTGTGTGGTGTGTGTGCGTGTGTGTGTGTGTGTGTGTGTGTGTGTGTGTGTGTGTGTGTGTGTGTGTGTGTGTGTGTGTGTGTGTGTGTGTGTGTGTGTGTGTGTGTGTGTGTGTGTGTGTGTGTGTGTGTGTGTGTGTGTGTGTGTGTGTGTGTGTGTGTGTGTGTGTGTGTGTGTGTGTGTGTGTGTGTGTGTGTGTGTGTGTGTGTGTGTGTGTGTGTGTGTGTGTGTGTGTGTGTGTGTGTGTATGTATGTGCAACATTATTAATAAAAAAAAAGTAATGTGAAAAGTCCTTTTGCAGCTTTTTATATACAGAAATAAATCAAAAGCTTACCCTAGGTAAATCTTTCAGTGTTGATATGGAGTTGCCAAAAAAATAATTAAATATTGAAGAATAGATAGTAGAGTAGGGCAATTTTTAATGACATAAGGTATTTCTTAACCTTATTATTTTAGGAAGAAACGGTGCAAATGAAAATTGCCGCAGCTGGATTTTTTTTCGCATTCGCCTCACAGAATTTGATAATATATTATCATGCAGATGAGTTTGCCTGGGAGGTATACATAAATTATAAATACATAATTAACGAATCTACAAAATTTTCCTAAATTTATTTTATAAAAATTGACTTTAATATTTTTAGAGTAATTACGGACTTACGCGATCCATTTTTGCAAGCAACTGGTTTAAAATAGATATTTCTGCCCAAAAATTGCTGGTGTTTGTTATAATGAGAGCTCAAAAGCCTCTTACGTTGTCTATTGGCCCATTTAGAAAACTTGGTGTGGATTCTATGATAGCTGTAAGTATTTCTACATAGTACACCAAAATCAATGTATAATTGTATTCAAAATATAACATAAAAAAGTGTTGTGATCTTAAAAATTTAGATTTAAAATAATTATAAAGAGCTTAGAGAGCTTTAAATTTTTGTTTTAAGTCTATTTTTCACGATTTTTTTAGCTATTCAAAGCCACTTACTCTTACCTCTCGGTTATGTGGAGTTAGAAAGACAAAACGAAAATAGATATTAAAGTCTAACTCAAGATGCTGCTAGAACTTAAAATTAGGTGCTTATTATTCAACACTTTAAAACAAATTTTAGAATACACAATAAAATAAAATTGCAATAAAAAATTGTTTTTTATTAGAGCAAGTACCACATTCTTTAAGTTAAAATAAATAATGGACATAATCACAACCGCATCCTATAATTGACATTAATCCAACTCTTGTTCTCTGCTTAAACTTTGGATTCACTAGTACTACTTGTGATTGTGTCTGGCAATGTATACTATACTTCAGTGGCGGTTCGTATCCTAGTCTAGAAGGGGATACTTTTGAGAGGTACTGAAGATATACAAAATTTATGCAAACTTACCATGTACTTTCATTGAGCTTTAGATAATCTGGTAGATAGCATGTTACCTTAATTATTGCCAGTTATAAAAAACCTTGTGAAAAGGAAAGATTATAACCCTTCGGCATAAATCAGATACTGTTTAAGTGTTACATTTGTGGGTCGGTAAGATTCGAGTTAGAATTTAACTAACAAGTTAATGGCAATATCTTTATTTATTAAGGAAAAAAAAGTTGAATAAATGCTCATGGACGCTACGTAGTTGTTTAATAAATACAATTTAAGCTGTTAGTTTGCCAGCTGAAAATAAGAAAAATTAAAATACGTATTGAACTTTTAATATATAATAAAAAAAATTGTCTACTTGACTAAACTGTACCATCATATGAAAAGTTCTACAAATTGTCTACTGTTTAACATAATATGAAAAGGTCTACATTAACAAAAAAATAATTAAATGAGTAAACTGGTTCTGGACCGATATTTGAAATTTAAAATAAAAAATGACTTTATGGAGAGACAAATATTTTTAATTTTAAATAGAAAAGTGACTACCCAGACAGCACACAATGTCCCTTGGACGTCCATATTTTGTCCAAATAATGTCCTGGATGTCCATGAACTTTATATGGATATGCATTGGATATCCGTTTTCCGTTATCCAATGGATATACCCATTCAGAAATCCAATGGATGTCCAAAAAATGTCAATGATTATAATAAATTATTATAATTATTCTTGTATAAATTAATTATTTACTACGTTTTAATTAAAACAAATCAATTAATTTTCCTTTCCATTCGCCTCTGTTGACAATGTAGAAAAGTAAAAGGCCACTCAAGCCAGACACGAAGTAGAAAAGAAGAAAGAGGTTAATAAGAAATCACAGCCAATATGTAGCACATAGATGTTTTTCTGGTAAGAACATAAGTATAAATAACTTAAATCATTTAAAAATCTAAAAATTAAAAAGCAAATCGTTTGTTTTAAACTAATATAACCTATCAATTGTGTTTTAAACTTTATGTTTTCGATTTACATTCAAAGAATCCCTTTCTTTTAGACATTTTGTCAAACGATGTACCTACCTATCTAAGAAAATGGCTTTACTAAAAGCTAACTAATATGCTGCAAATTCGAGATGATGTCAACACAATTATTATTGTAACTAAGAGGTGAAAAAACTTTCAAAGCAGAAGAAAAGTTTCTATTTGTACTGCATGAGACGTTAGCAGAAGTTACAAATATTTTTAAAGAAGCTGTAAGTTTTACTTTTATTAAATAAAATAGAATCGTTTTGTAACGTTTAAGAAATAATGCATTGAAAGTGGTTTCATAAGTTATTTATCTTTAATGTTCACTAATACATATTTTTATTGCAATTTTAGATTCAGCAGTTACCAAAACCAGGGACAAGGACATGACGAACTTATAAAAAGATGGTTTGTTTCCATAATTTCTAATACACTCACGAAAGAATTCACATAATATGATGGTATGAAATTAAAATGGTAATTTAAAGAAACAATGAGCAGTTTTTTGTTTATATATAAGTATAGGGGTAAAGTACGAGGATATATCAGTATATAACGAGACTGGTGCTATAACTTCTTTCAGAGGTAACATTTTATAACCCAAAAAATGAGACATGAAAGCCTTTTATTTAATGTACTACCCCGCAAGTAGGCTTTGATTTAACTTTTGACATTTGTTACAAATTAATTATTGAATTGTCAGTGTTTTGCGTACCCATAGAAAAATGAAAGTGGAGCAAAGATACGCGATAAAATTTTGTGTTCGATTGGGTAAAACACCAACTGAAACTTTTGAAATGATTAAAGGTGCATATTTAGATAATAGTTTATCACGATGTAGAGTGTTTGAGTGGCATAAAAAGTTAAAAGACGGTTGTGAATCAGTTGAAGATGAACCTCGTCCCGGTTGACCACAAAGTGCGATAAATGACACAAAAATTGCAGAAATTAACGACTTGATACAAAATGATCGCCGGATTGGCATAAAACGAATTTCTGACTGGTAATTTGTCTTACGGTACCACTCAAAAAATTATTCATGAAGATTTAGAGTACCGGAAGATCGCGGCAAGATGGATTCCAAAAGTGATGACCGATGAACAAAAAGCGAATCGAGTGACAATTTGTCAGCAGTGGAAAAGGCAATTGCAACGCAACCCACAGTTTTTAAATAATGTGGTTACATGTGACGAAAGTTGGTTTTATCATTACGATCCTAAATTGAAGTCTCAAAGTATGCAATGGAAGCATAAAGGCAGCCCAAGAACGCAGAAGACCAAAACTGCTAAAAGCGCTGGTAAAGTGATACACCTAATCTTTTTTGATAAATTTGGCGTTATTTACGATCACACTGTACCTAGAGGACATACAGTAACAGGGGAGTACTATTCTAATGTACTTAGAGGACCCTTAAAGGCAAAATTAAAGAAAAAAAGGCCGCTTTATCAGGACTTTGGCTGGACGCTGCATCACGACAATGCTCCGGCTCATAGATCAATGATTTGTCAACGAACAATTGAAGAATTAGGGGTTGAAATTATGGTTCATCCCCCCTACTCTCCTGACCTTGCTCCATGTGACTTCCATTTGTTTCCTGAAGTCAAAAATGAATTGAGAGGCAGAAGATTTGAGTCGGATTTAGAGCTCAACAACGCTGTGATGGGTATACTAAACAGACTATCAAAAAATGGTTTCTCAGAAGTTTATGATAAGTGGATAAAGCGATGGAATAAGTGTATTCAACAGAATGGAGAGTACTTCGAAGGATAGTTGTTGAATTTTTTTAAATAAATATTTCGTTGTTATACTATAGCACCAGTCTCGTTATTTTCTGATACATCCTCGTATATTAGTCAATGCATATTTTCATATTAGCTAATACCATTTTATCTAAAAATTTTACATTTTTAACTATCACTTTTGCCTGATCAGGCGTTTATTAAACGATTGCTTTAAGAGTCAATATTCGTATAAAATGTAATGTCTTTTTTTAGCTGCTGCTGAGAGTGACAATGGTGCTTCTTAAAAAGTAAGCGAAATAGCCTTAAGAAAATAGCTGAGGTCAACAGAAAGGAGTGCGTATAAAACTAATACATGCTTGATATTGTTTATGACAATAAAAATAGGTATAGTTGCAATTATTTCATTTCATATTAATGTAGGTGGTGATGATGTCCGTCAGATGTCCATAAATTGTCCAAAAACAATACAAAAAGAGTCCATATATGGACCTTTCATGGAGTCCAAATGGACGTCCAGGAGTGGGACATTTGTATAGTCCAGTGGATGTCCATTGGATGTCCTTCGGTAAAATGCTGGACGTCCTTTGGACAGCCGATATGTCCATGAATGGACTTCCGATGGACATCCAATGGATTGACTTGTGCTGTCTGGGTATATGGACAGATAAAAATGCTCAGGTGTCGGGCGACACTTACCTAATTCGTGTAGATGGTTGAGAGAGAACATCACTATAATGGGATGTTGATGAAAAAGTGGCACCTCCTAAGTGTTGCCGGGTCGTTTCAGAGCAGCCAAAAAATATGGTATAGTTATCTGAATGTCTCCAGGTCTACTTAAGCGATCGTGGTGCTCACCTGGTTTACCAAAGTGAATTGTCTATTTTACTGACATTGTCTTCTGGTCTTCCTTACTATCATTGATGTGTTGCTCTTCCGCTCTCCTTAATTTAAAAAAATAAAACACGAAGTGAGTCACTTGTTATAAAAGAAAACCTTCACATCTCTTAACACGTGTTAAAAAAAAAGAAAGTACCAAAAACTCAAAATAAGTACATTTAAAACAAATAAATTATGACCATCACAGCGATTGATTAAATTCGCAATAGTATTTTAGTTACATTGATAAAGATGGAAAGATCGAATATATGGATAAAAAAACTAATATGGCCGCCTTTTAACAACGTGGCTATGAAAAATCATTCTAGTGTTAACAAAATAAAGACAATTCATGAAACTCACGTAATAATCTACAAAGCGAGATGTTACTTACAAAATCACTTATCAAGCAATTTAAAATATTAAATAATTCTACCAACCTTATTCATACAAATTTATGCGAACACAACCACTTGATACAAAATCTCGAATAGCAAACAATGCTGTATTTTTTCTGAAAACATTTTAAATGTAACTAAATTATGTGATACAAGGGGAGGCCAGATTAGGGAATACACTGGGAAATCTTGACATTAGGCCAGGTCACATGAGTATCTCAAGGTTAGTGACAGGAGACGTGCTAGACATGAGATCAGACCACTTAACCAAGAGGTACTCTTTTAATACTCCCTTTGAGGTTTTTATACAGGAAAGAGCGGAGATCACCATAAGGGATCCCAATGCCCAACGACAGGAACAAACCTGGTATACAGACGGGTCTAAGACTGC